TGGGTATGGGGGTGTCTTGGGGTGTGTATGTGCATGGAAAGCATGAGGGTCTGCATGGGGGTGTATGGGGGTGTGCAGGGAGATGGGGCATGGGAATGCCTGGGGAGTTTGCATTGGGGTGTATATGAGAGGGCACAGTGGGGAGTGTGTAGGGGAGTGTGTAGGGGGAATGTGTGCGGGGCTGCACGACTGCTTCTTCCTAAGTACAATCCCACGCACCTCCATATGTGTACACCCCCCGGGCTGGGGTGCAGGGAGGTGTATGGGTATGGGGGTGCGTGGGATTGTGCTTGGGGGGAAGTGCATGGGAGTCTGCATGGGAGTATGTATGAGCCCCTGCTTCCCTCCCACACCCTCAGCCCCCTGCTCTTGGGGGCAGTGCTCTGGCAGGACCCAGCTTGGGGGGACTGGTGTGAGCCAAGGGTGTGCAAGGGTGGCTGTGGGGGTGCCACGTGTAGCTGCAGAGTCTGGGAGTGCAGCCATACATGTGCGTGTGTAGCCCAAATCCCTGGTGCTGGGCAATTTACATTGCAAAACTTGCAGGATCTTCCCAAGGGAAAAAAAGGATGTTTATAATATTCTGGTAAAAAAACCAAACCAAACAAAAAAATAACAAACCCAAAACCTCTGTTACATTATTGGCTTAATTTAAAAAATATTATTATTTTTTATTTTTATTTTTTGTCAAATGGGAAAAGCACAATTTTCCCTTCAATTGCCCAAGTTGGAAACAGCTGGACAGACTAATTCAATCAAACTGGAAAAAAAATCCCTCTGGACTGCAACCAAAAATAGAACGGTTTAGCCAAAAAAAGAAGCTTTTTAGGAAAGCTTAGAGTAATGCAGATAGGCCTATGAGGGGGAGGCTGAGAGACGTGGATTCAAGCTCAGCTGACAAAAAGCTTGGATAGCTGCACCCAAAAGCTCCGACAAACCCCTCTTTCATGGTTGTGGTCCCTCTGCTCGCTGAGGGTGCCGAGCGGGGGCTGCCCGCCCGCGGGGCTGGGTCCTGGCCAGGGCTCCTGCCTGCCAGCCCTGCTCTTCCGTGAGGCTTCTGACTGCCCTTCCCCAGGCTCTGCTGCTCCCTCCAGGGAGCTGCCTGCAACTGCCCTCCTCCGTCCGGCTCCAGATTCCAGTGACAGATGCCACCCATGCAGCCACGAGGTCACATTCTCCCATATCTGCCCAGGAGGGTCCAGCTCATCCCTGCCTGTGTGGGGGCTCTGCTGACCCACCCCAGCTCCCTGCTCCTGGCTCCCACCTGTTCCTAGGATGGCTCTGGCGCACATAGAGGCTGGCTCTGGCCGGGGCTAGATGGGAGCTGTTCAGGGATGGCCAGGCCAGCTCTGCTGCAGCACCCCCAAGCACCCAGGCAAGCGGATGGGCTGGGACCTGGGGCACCCCAGAGACCCTCCTGCTCCTGAGTTTTCTTTCTGACTGCCAGCATCTCACCTTATCCAACCCCCTCCACTCCCATGACTTTGTTACTCACCCTTGTGAAGAAGGCAGAAGTCATCCTCCCCTCTGGGGAGGGGGCTCTGAATATGCTTATCCCCAGAGCGGCAGGAAAAGCAACTGCTGAGGCAGATCCATGCCCTGCTCACCCCGCATGGAGACCAGCACCCTCCTACCATCCCTGGGGCCATGCATACCTCCCTGCAGGGGAGAGACACCCAGGCCAGCACAGCACAGACACGCTTGGGCAGTCCCATCTGGCCACTTCCCCACTGCCCCAACCGGCAGCCTGGCCCTTTGGGGACATGCTCTCCTTGCCAGAGGCAGTGCAAGGGCTGGGATCCCTCACCCCAGTCATACCAGTACCCCAAGCAGGTTGGAAGTTGCTTTGCATAGCCAGTCCCCACAGTGTGGAGGAGGCAGTGTGCGTGGGGGTCTGCTCCAGCCCCGGCATTTGAGGCTCCCACCGGATGGTACCCACAGCGGGGCTTCAACTCCTTCCCTGCACCTTGCTGCCACCGAGGCACCTGCCGCCAGGTGCTGGGAGGACGATGAAGATGGAGCTCTGCCTCGCTGCAGGGATGCTCCTGGGGATGGCCGGAGGCTGCCAGAGCCTGGCTCTCTGCCCCGCTGAGGGGGCAGCACGGCCGTGTGCCGGGCTGGGGCCGGCATCCAGCCGCTGCCCCGGGGCTGGGCATCGCCTCCGCCCTGGGCAGGCGGGAGGACTGGCTGGGCCGGCCGGGTGGCCGTGTGGTTGGCTCCTGAGTCACAGCAAGCAGATTCGGGCAGGTCACAGGGTGTGAGGGCAGCGATTCTGGGGGTCTGGTGCTGCTGGGCTGGGGCAGCTTGGCATGGTGACTAAGGCTGCTGCAAAAAGGCAGGGTCGCCCCGACCCCACGCCCAGCCCTGACTCATGCAGCTGTCACGCCGGTCCCGTGGGTGCTGCTGGGCAGCAGTGAGGAGAAGTGCTGCAGGACAGCAAAGCCTGGGTGTGTGGCTGTCTGAATGGGCTGTCTCTGGCCTCTAGCTCCTGGTGGCTTCACACTGAGTGTCTGTCCTGGAGTTTCTCCATCTCTGTCCACTCTCCTGTTCCCCCACAATTTAAGATTCCCCAGAGCTTCCCCCTGCACCCCTTCAGCCCCACTATGTGTCAGCAGGATTGCCTCATCCCATGCTTAGGAACATGGTTTTGTGATGGACTTGGCAGTGCTGGATTAACAGCTGAATT